AAAAAGCCCAGTTACTTAGTAAATATACAACTACCATCATTTAAAAAGCAAATGTCTCCCTGGCTAATGTATAAGTATGCATATGACGTTGCTAATATGTAAGATTTATGTAATTATATATTTATATCGTATTTAATTTTTATCTTATTTGTTGTCTTTGAATATTGTACACTATATTTATTTATATTAGTTTCCGCTCCTAAATTGCAAATATTTATGTATGAAATATGTTAAGATAAATAACACTGTGGAGACATGAGTTATCTCAGTGAGGCCCAGTAATCTGTAAAAAGGTTTTTAATCAAAATAAAAAAAAAGATAAAAAATAAAAAACATTAGGATTTAACTTTTCGTCAAAATTTGATCTTAAAACGCTTATCAAAATTCGGGGTTTGGAAAAAAAAGCAATACATTTATTCTACATATTATAAAAAAAAAATAATATTATTGATAATACTTTTATATAGATACATATTATATATTACTATATAATAGGTACCTACACCATTTTTTAACACCATTTTTGTACTTACAATACAGTAATAGTCATTTTTGTTACATTCGATTATAGACTGTAGATTGCGATAATAATTTTTCCGATATAATTTTTTGTAAAAATGTTTAAAATATTATCATTGAATATATAATATAGTCCATGGTATTAAAATATGATATAAATGCCTACTATATGATACTATATAATATGTATTACTAATCAATAATATTACTCGTACTTTTGTACTTTTATATACCTTATATATTATAATATATATGTAAAATAAATATATTGCTTTTTTTACAACATGCTTTTTTTTTCATTCGCTTTTTTTCCTAAACTTCAAAAATTCTACTATGTTAGGCTCAACTTTTTTTTTTGTTCCACCAAGTACAAATTGTAATCAACTTCGTGTTAAATTTTCAAGCATTTTTGTTTGGTCAAATAATTTTATATACAGTAGTACCTACTAAATAAAAACTAAAACAAAAAACTCGAAAATGTAAAATGCTTATAAATTGCTCAAAAGTCTTAACAAGTATATTTGCCACGTGTAGATAAGGCTAATAGCAATATGTTATATTGTGAAAATTTCAGATCCTTACAAACAGGTTATTCTGATTTTCCCGATTATTCTGGTAAAACTGATTGGAGAATCATAACACAACTTTCTTATTCACCAACTAGATCCAAAATGTAACAAAAAGGTACAAGTTTTCTGCTCGAAAACTTGATTATAGAAAGAAAAAGAAATTTACTTCATAGTAAAACTAATATATATGATTTGAAATAGACTAGATTTGAAGCTCCCTCCCGATTAAAAATCCTGGATCAGCGCTTGCTAGTAATTTATCGATAAACATCATCAAGTGACCATATATTACGTAATTGTTATACATTATACTTTTGATTTTAATTAGTGATGGTACATAAATCCAGATAATCCGAAAATCCAGACTATGGAACTTCAACAAATCCGGTTTTTTCCAAGACTAATTTGAATACGAATTTATATAGCTTATAAGAACAATTAGGAAGCATGGTACTTAATAAAATGTAAAATTAATGAAATTTATAATTTAACCAAATTAAATGCGCCCCTTGGTAAATGCCCATTTTTCCAACCTCCGTATAGTCACAACACATGTTTAAGTCTGCGCATACTACACGCCACACTGCAGTAATTACACTGCAGAGTTCTCCCCCATAAACACGGTTTCAGGGGGAGGGGGAAGGGCTGCCCTGTAGGTGTTATATTTATAATAACTCTCGCGCGGAGAGAGGAAAAAGGATTTTTTCCGCCGATAAGATACCGCAAACATTGACAGCTCGGTTGTCAAAGGGTTCCAGTTCAATTACGGGAGCCGTCAGTATATAGCTATATAATATTATATGGTATAGTAATAGTAGCAATGGTAGTAATAGTAGTAGTTTATATAGTTACACACGCACAACACACATTGCGTACACCTAGCCTGAGAAGTGAGGATACACACACGACGACGGGTATACTGAGTGAAAAGTCATCTTTTTTCCTTGGTCGTCTCCACGTGAAACGAACTGAACTGGTTATTGATCGCAAACGGGACAGAAAAAATTAATTATTTTTAATAAAACAACACTGAACATATGACGAAATCTATGCGCTACGATAAAACGAAAATCATCGAATTTGCACGTAATGTTAGTGAAAGCCGTAGGTAACGAGAGTCGTTTTTGATAAATCCGATAAGTGATACACAGAATGATTCACTGAGCGTGCTCACCCCATTTTTTTTATTAAAATCTGTACGCATAGAAATCCTGATTTTTGGAATTTTTAAATGCAGTTAAAGCCTATATTTTCGGATACTTAGATTTTCCACAACAAGGAAAGTAGCGGAGCACTATAAAAATACCTTACGCCGTGCAGCCACACAAACGACACAACACCACTCACCTCCTACCAAAATTGAAAGTAGAATATCTAGTCAACGGCTTGACGGAAATCAAAAATTTTAACTCAAACATTCATTTAAACTAATACTCCATCTATGTATGGAGTTTTTATCGTCAGTTCTCATTCCCAGTCCGTAATAGGGAGGTGAGTAAAGGTTTTTGAGAAATTTTAGTACAAATATTTAATTGATTATTTTTTTTTTTTTTTGCGGTTTATTCATGGGTTACTTTGGTAATACGAATGAAATATTAAAAACATTGATCCGGGCAAACCCGAATGTGATAGTTAGCTAATTAAATTGTATTTATAGATAACTTTGGTGATATGGATGACAATTTGGTTTTCACGGACAAGAAAACTATTAGAATTACCTTTTATTATTTACACGATTATCTACTTTGATAATCTATAATTTTCAATAAATTAATAAAATAATTATAAAAATGATTAAAAATATATAAATATTATTCCTGATAATTTGTTCCATTCCGCTCAAATAATACTCCTAAGAATTACTTTTTACTGACGAATATTTTTCCGATTAATATACCGAGTCCTTTTAAATTGTGAGTGCTAAGTTAAGAGGAGGGCAAACGGATCAAACGCCCTAATACACTTAGAAACATCAAAAAAGTATGTAGGCCAAATTTTAGATGGACATTAAAATTAGACACTAAATCAGATTAATGATATTTGGCACGGTAATAAAAGTGGGGAATTAAAATTGTATGATCGACTGCGACACCACGACGGAAAAACTTTCAAAATTTTTATTAAATACCTAGTACATTACCATTTTGAATGTTTTGACAACGGACCGTGCGAACTGCAAAGGCATTACATACACCTAATTCAATATTTAACATTATCTGTGGTTTCGATATTTAGCGCGCACTCTTGTTGTTAGCGGTAGTACTAACGATAGCGCTAGGTACCATCTTTTTTTCAAACCCCAATTTAATAACGGTCTTTTTGATGTAGAATGTAGATAGACACTTACCTAGGTACGTGGTTTTTGTAAACCACTATGTACCTTTTGGGGAATCTAGGATGAAAGAAAGGGTGGATAGGTTAATCGTCTTCCGTGACCAGACAGTGTTTACTGCACGGCTATAGTTAAAAGTTGGGGAACAAGTGTGTCTATTTCATCAAACTCCGGGATATACACATGAAACAGTAGACCAACGGGCCTTATCATTTTGTTGTTATCATTTAATACGTTTGTAAGTTATCGTTTGTTTACGATATTAAAATTAATAATCTTTAATATTTTTACAATCATATTACATGATGTAACCTGTATAAAACAAAATAACAACCGTAAAATAATGCATTAACAGAGAATTAAAAATAAATTACATATTAAATATGCGCACGATAAACTGGAAATATAACTATTGTAAATACTCAATAAACAAATAGTAAAATCATAGACATAATATTATTATATTCATGAGTGAAATATCGTAAATAGAACTTAATATTTGGTAATGCAATAACACTTATGTTCGTATACACGAATAGGTATGGAATAAATAATTAATCAGGTTCACAGTTCTCACTCAAGTATTTTTATTTATTAATTATTAATTACCAATAGGTAGTATCTAACTAATTTTTTTATATTATATTCATTAGAAATTAGGTTTTCAGAAATGACCAATTTGGATAATGTGGAATTTGTTTTATTTAATTGTTTAGCTTCAATAAGTTTTTGAATAGTTCTATTGGCGCATTCTCATAGTAATATACGTTACAAACATATCTGTGATGGTTAAATAAAAGTCCATGGAGAACAGTCTAATACAACTAAAATCAAATATATCATATACAATCAAATATATCAATTGTATGAATGCTATACTATAAATAAAAACCGAATTTGAGAAATCGCAATTTTATTTTTGATATCGGATAGACAGTTACGATCAAATGTGTACACGAATCGGATCGATCAGTCTTCCTATTTGATATTGTATTGCGGATTATTGAAATTTTCGTAAACTTCATATAGAGTATACGAGTACATTCTTAGCTCTGTGAATGGAACATGGAAAATATAGGTTTTCATTATGAAGATATTTTACACTGAGCGTCTGGATCATTAATATTTTCAAAGAAATACTCTTCAACTTTACAAATAAATTTGTAAAATGTACAATTTCGATGAATCGATCCACCAACAGATTTCTTATTTAAGTACCTTGAGTATTTTATGATTATTTTGAGTGTTTTTTGAAAATGCGCTCGAGTAGTGGGATCAAAAACTATGGATTGTTTTGGTAAGAAATACATGTTCGGACGTTGTGTATTTTAAGTTGCCTATACCACAGAAATAAAAGAAGTTATTTTATTCAAGGAATAAAATAAACACCGAATAGTATTACATTTTGACACCGGAAAGCGTAAGTGTATTTAGCACCTCAAGTTAATTTAGAATTAAATGTGGTTTACTCCGGTCCTAATGCGAAGAGTGTTTTTCAGAGTCTCATAATTTCTAAAATAATCCGTTATTTTTTATGAGCTTCAATCTATTTGCAAACGNCGATTAACGATCTATTTCAAGTCGACGCGACGCAATTCGGTCGGACAAGCGGTGGTTACCAGAAGATTCTCGAATATTCCGTTTCCGCGCTACACTCGAAGATTCTAGAATATTCTCCCGCTAATATATACGCCGGCAACCGTTCCGGCGTCGTCAGTTGATTCTCGTTGTGCTTGCCTGTCGGACCGTTCCGTTCGTCTCTCCGATTTTCACGGATATATCAATACCGGCTCTCCCCGGAAATCAGAATAACTGTTCAGAGTGATTGAAAATTCCGAACCGATTCTTGTAAAAGGTACGTACGTTATATTCGTGTCGGTTTGGATTTTTTTAATGCATACCGGCACATATATTTTTTTTTCCAACTCCAATTTGATTGCTTTGACTAAACGTTCTATTTTCGTTTATGATTATAATGTTATAAATAAAGTATTGTCTTTTGCGATTACTCTCTAAATTATTCTACGAACACTACATATCTGGGTATACCTAATAGTTATTGTGCTTAATATGTGTTTGTCTTTATTGCTCGTGTTATTGGGTGTGATTTAAGATACCTAAGATATCTATTCATTATATATACCTACCTAATGAGCAATACCGTGCCGATACTGTTTTTTTGTACGAATTTACTATTGTCATTATTGATTATTTGAGAATTTTGATTTTCATGTTTCTATGGA